CCACACACACACACACACACCACACACACACACACACACACACACACACACACACACACACACACACACACACACACCACACCACACACACACACACACACACACACACCACAACACACAGAAAGAGAGAGAGAGAGAGGAGAGAGAGAGAGAGGAGAGAGGAGAGAGAGAGAGAGAGAGAGAGAGGAGAGAGAGAGAGAGAGACGAGAGAGATTATATTATATATATCTATATTAATATTATATATATATTATATATAATATAATATATGTATATATCTATATGTATACATACATATATCTAAACAGCATGACCAAAGGCTTTCAAAAACATGGCCCTGCATGGAACAGCTCATGGAGTTATTTAGACGAAGCATGATTATGATGGGCGGGAAAGATCGTGCGAGTTATCGTCCTCATCTGATGTGTTAGCATCTACCCAATTTATCGGCCGGCCGATTCTCCGGTCACCGTCAGGTGCTGTTTGAAGCCTAAGAAGGACTGGATGGCATTGGGCTTTTCCCAGTCTAGCGCCATAACGTTAGGTTTCCCCTAGATACGCTGAGATTTGATACGGGTCTTCTGATAGCGTGTCCAGTATTCTACCACAGAGGCCAACGGAAAGAGCAAGATTGCGATGTGCGAACGTTCTTTCATTTATCTCCCACCAGGTACTTTTTTCTTGCAAAAAGTGAGCCCATGCTTGGCTATATTCACGCTTAGTTTAATCATGGGGCTGCTAGCAAATACCATGTGCACTTTCTTCTTTAATTTTTTTAGCTTTCCAGTGTCACTTTCTGTTGCTGATGTTTATACCATCTCGTTCAGGTCGGAGATCAGCTTCTTAACATCTACACTTTGCCATACCAGACTTCACAGTCTCACCTCACATGGTCGCCCTCTTGTGCTCTTCCAATCTGACCGAAAGAGAGCGAATGTTTCTACTTTCTAAGACAAAACGCGACTGCATGGTGCGTGACATATGCGGTTTTCAGAACGTTCTCTAAGTGTTGGCGATGTGACCTCGGTACGTGTGCGTGGAAGTTTTGAGCTGCGTCTGAATTCTATGCCGACTTGGTTATCTGCTGCAGAGTCTTGTGGCGTAGTCTGACGAGCCTTTGTTGTCAGGTAACGATCATGATACTCTTCGTTTCTGTCATGGCCGCTCCGCTTCTTAAGCATGCCCTTTCCACTTCCTGTCGTGTATCTTTTTTACATCACCTTTCTCGCACTAGGTATAAGTTCAGAGGCTCAATTCCGTTTTTTATGATTGCGTTATCATTGCTTATGGTATTTAAGTGATATTGAAGGCACCTACGTCGCCTGTCTTGACAATGTCCGGGTGGCTTGACTGAAAGTTCAGGGAAGGACATCTTGCAGCGGTTTTCCAGTGAGCCGATGCCCTGAAGCTGTTCTCTGTTCTCTCATCATGGACGTCTAGAAATGCTAGTTTGTCGGACTCCAGCTCCGTGACAAATTGAATGAATGGCTTTAAGATGTTGATTCCGTCCAGGAACGAAACTACGCCTTTCTGGTGTTGCCAGAGGGTAAAGGTTTCACGGCCGTATGGCAGCCACACTGGTGGTTTGAGTGACGTGGTTTCAATCGTCCTTATTCGGAATGTTCCATCCAGATGTTGCCACTCATGGAAGGCAAATGTGCTCTCGCGGTCACTTGGTCGTTTTAGTGGTAGCATCGTCGTTTTAGCTAGAGCACGGTACTAGTGACACAACGCGAGAAGCTCAATCATGTTGTTGGTCGGGTGTGTTCTTCCCAGAAGCGTATCGAAATTTTCCAACCTGTTTCGCACACTTGCTTAAGCATACGGCGTCAATACGATGGTGGGTGCGGCTCACAAAGTCGAAGCTGATCATCTGTATGCCATATGTTTGACTCATGTCTTCCAATCAGAAGACGAAGTGGAGAGCTCTTCATGCATAATGGTGAGTTGCCTCTTAGACACGTCCGCAAAGATGTCCTGGAAGCTATTTCATGGAAACTATTTCGAGGTCACTCAGGCATTCATGACGCCTCAGTAACGTCACTTAGATCCTGCCATTCCATTAACCATTGCGGCGATCAAGACCAATAAAGATGTAATTGTTAAGTCCCTCATACCTGACCTTCGTAAGCACGATTTCCAGATTTAACGCCCGCCAAACGGCTCTCGATAAATTTGTATGCAAAATATGATGACGTAATCAAACGATGACGTAATGAGGAGCATATTCACTCAGAAGAGAACTCGTGGTTCTAAAACAGTCTTTTCACTTAAAAGTATACCAATGGTCATAAGTCAGCTTATTTCATCATATCTGATGCTTGCTTCAATATCTCCAAAAGCGGAGCATTCTCTTTATGGAGAGCAAACACGGTTTGAGAGCCTACGTTTAGTTCTTGAACACGGGCTTGGGCACCACGACGATTGTGGCAAATTCGAATGACATTCGTGCTAGTTTACAGCTAAATGATCTGAGCAGAGTTTTTATTGCTTGAAATAGGCAACATGTTTTACTGCCTGTGTAAAGCCATCAATTAATGCGCAGTTTGCTTTATTAGCCAAATACTTGATTTTTGGTGGTTTTCCGAATGAAACACCAGGGTGAAATATCTGGTGCAATTTGATGATTGGCCATTTCAAATTCAACTATATTCTTTCTCCTTTGTAGTCAGAAACTGGAGTTAGAGTGCTTAAGATGTACTTTGTTGTGACAACAATTTCATAGACAAGCATTTTGATCATTGCTCTGTAAGCAATATCGCTGGTGTTAGCCAAATAATGCTGTCCATTAGGTGACACTGGCATTGCATGCTATCTACATTTTGTGTATACACCTGAAAGCAAGGGCGAATTAGCAAAATACAGATCTCGATTGGCTTAGTGTTTGCGGGTTAATGCGACGGCAGCAGTGTAACACAGCAGGCTTCTGCGGGCTGAGTCTCCGGCTGACCGAGGAGGGCAGTGCCGCGGGTTAACATTTTGGTAAAAAGTACGTGCCTCATTCGAACAATTTTGGTCCCAAGACGTATCCCAATCGCCCCTGTTCATCCTGTTGGACGGCTGTACGGGTTTTAAGATTCTCAGCACGTTCTGAGGGACATCTGTTTTGAATAAGTGTCGACAAAGCAATCGCTTTGTCTCAAATGGCGTGGTACGTATATCCAGAGAACCTAATGGTTGCCTTTGAGTCACCGAGAGCGGACGCGGGGAAGAAGGCATGACAAGAGCAGCCAGGATGGGAACACATCTAACACAATCAACGTCCCCCCCCCCCCCCAACGGAATTAAGTACACCATCCCCCGCCCCTCGGCACATCTCCCCCGTTTGCGCGTGAATGCACCACCCGTCGAGCTGTGTGACCCCTGTAACTTGTGACCCTTGTCATGGTTTCCACCTCCAGGAGCGGTGCCTCGAATGAAGAGCAGGGACCGGACGCCATGCGGCCCTCCCCACAGCCGGGCGGCATCAGGTTCTCAAGCCCGGACCGACCCCGCGATGCAGGCCACTTCAGAACTGACCGGTTCGACGCGCTCAAGACGTTCGACGTGAGTATTCGGCAACTGGCTGTTGATTATATACTTGCTGATGTATGCAGCTGTGGCTGTCCGACACCGATTGTAACGGTCGATCAACACACCACCAATTCGAAAGCCACAATTGAGTATGTGTCCAAAGAGTGACTGTGAGGTAGGCAATCAACCAAGAGGGGTTCACCCCACCCATGGGCACTCAGTGCGGCACAGAACAAGCGTAGTGAGAGACGCATTTGCGTCGAGCATGTTGGTTGCTGATAAGTCGGTGGCGATGGTCGAAACGACGTGCTTATTCAAATTGGTCCGTTTTGGAATATGTACCTAATTGTATGTCGCTTGCGTGTCAACGTGCGCTAGCAGGAAATGATTCCCCAATTTGCCTCGAGTATCCATACCTGAACTTTGCACGCGTAATGATTTGGGGAACGTCAGTTACACAGGGAAACAAGGCTGCTGTCAGTATTTTGAAAAATATATTTTATAGCTGCAAATTACAAGAAATCGTCAACAGAAGCCCAGCCTTTAATTCCTTTATGAATCGTTAGGTAATAATCGTGACCAGCTCAAGACTATGTTTACCTTAATGAGTCCCAGTTCTTAGGATATCTAACAGAGGCGCAGCCAGGGGTGGGGTCTAAGGGGGCCGAGCTCCCAAGGTCAGGATTTGGGGTTTTTTGCCATGAAGGGGTCCCGACAGAAAGTGGAAGATCCGGGCTTATCGCGTTGCAAAATATTGGCTGCGCCCCAGATATCTAAACTTTTTGGTCCTACGAAATAAACCAGTGGAAAGGTAGAACACATCGTGTAATGCTTTCCTACCTCAAAAATGCTTTCATCGCCACGGCTAGTCAAGAAGGTTTTTGACGGCTACGCAGTTGATAGCTCGGGGAAAAGTTTCAAGGAGTATCTTAAAGCTGGTTAGAGCTTACTTTACGGTTTATCAACGGCGGTTGGTATTTATCAGACTGGCTTGATCGTGTTTCAAGCTCTTTTCGCGCAATGAGGCCAGTAGTGGAACAGTATATGGGTTAATATTTGTGCAGACGAGTAGGTGTGAACGGTGACGGCGTGCCTGTAGAACATCCACTCTGTTCCGAGGAAGGAGGGAAAAAGTACTCACTGTCTCACCAACAGTCTCAGTCTCCGAGCAGTCTCCGGCCACCTGGGGCTGCATTAGTGGGCTGCCAGCCGCATTCTATGTGGTAGAACCGCACTCCTGTCATTAACTGTTCTGTTGTAAAACCTTAGCCATATGTGAGGAGAGCAATATCGTCGGTTGAAATGCTGTATTGTGGATTTGGAAGTCAGTTTAGTGATTTTCTCTCTACTATTTAGCGGCATAATACACTTAGAACGCAAGGCCACTTCAAAGTGTTAAATAAAAGTGCGTGGGGTTTGCATTATCTTACATACTTGAATGTTTAGCGAACAAACGTTTAACTCCTTCAAAGAAGGTGTTGGTGAGACGGTGAGTACTTTTTCCGTCCTTCCTCTCCCTCCCCCCCCCCCCCTCCCCAGGAGACGGGCTTTTTGGTGATGACCAACCTGGCGCTGGAGACGAGACCCTGCTACAAACGCGTACCTGCCAAACAGATACCGAAGCCGATTCGAACGCAGGCAGGAGTGGTAAGTCATTCGCATCAAGAGACGTGCAAGAAATGTGTGAGCGTTGTGAGTGAGCCGCCTTGACTCTGCAATAGGTACGATCGCGTGGCTGTTCTCTGAACTTTGTTGCGCAAATATTTACCTTCCTGTGACGTGTGCTTTATACCTAGCCGGGCAGCTGGTGGCTGTGTCTTCCGGCGCTAGCCTTGCCGCTACCATCTAGGCAAGACCAGCCTCTAAAAGTCGCTTCGGAGCGCCGCAGGCCTATGCAGTCGGCGGTGGTGGAAGAGGAAGTGGTGGAGGAGGACGTGATGGGCAACCGTCACGCGCGCCGGGAGGCGGATCAGCCTCGATCGGGGAGCAGGTCCGCGAGTTCTTGCCGGAGGCCTTTCTCTTCTTCCTCCAGACGATCGGGTGAGGCAGGAGTCAGAGAAATGCGGTGCGCGCAGCCGGAGCCTGACCTCGGAGGAGCTTCGGGCTGTTCCTCAGCAAGTGTCGCTGTGGCGGCCAGATGTGTCCGCTCTCTACGCTGTGCGCCATTTTTTCTTCTTTTTTTTACCTGTGCCATGCCAACTGTGTTCAGCGTTCTGTCATCCGAGCAACATGCGCACGGTTTGAAGGGCACCAGGCGCGAGTCGCTTGGAGATCAGACAGTAAAGAAGCTGTCAAGCTGAACCGCAACAAGAGAGTCTTTCCTAAATTGCACTGTACATGAACCGACCCAGATGTAAACTTAGCATCATTCGTGTCACAGGCATGTTCTGAGCCTATGTTTTCATCTCTTCCTCCTCCATCTTCTTGGGGCCTTTCTTTTATTCTCATGGCGTGCTGCGTCTCGAGCGCTCCGCCATCGTTCATTGACGCGGCATTTGTCTGCGCTCCAATCGGCGTCCCCTGCCTCTGTTGTTGGTTGGCTTTCACGCCTCCTCACCGACCCTGACACGGGAGAACTGCTGTGCCGATAGCCCGGAGGGCACCACAGTGCTGACCCAAGAAATGCCCGACACTATCACATCGTGGGTCGGTTCCGCCATCTGCTCCCATCCTCAGGTAAATGAAGAGGATCCTACCCTCGAGTTGGTGAGGAGCTTTTGACTTTATTAATTTGGTGATTTCCTGCTTCCAGGTAAGTGGGGAAGGGAGGTTGGATGGCGTGGCGTTTGTTTGCTCTCCAATCGGCACACAACAAATCGGTTTGCACTCCAATTGCCTCCCCCCCCCGTGCCGGTCAGAAGTTCTCGACCCCAGGTAGCTCGGGATTCCCTGTCCGAGTTAGGAGGGGAGATTGAAAAGTTTAGTGAAGAAATCTAACTCTCAGGTAGGTGGGAAGCTGCAGCGATCCGCTGTAATTCATGATTCTTAGTCCCAGGTAGGTGAGGAGTTCCGCCCCTATGTAGGTCAAGATCCCAGGTAGATCCCAGGTAGTTCGGGATTCCCATTCCCATTTAGGTGGAAACTTACGTCCCTGCGTAGGTCGGGAGCTCTTGATCCCAGGAAACTCTGGATCATCCTGTCCTGGGTAGGAGGGAACTTCGCCCCTGGGCACATGGGAAGCTCGTGGACCCAGCTAGCTGGGGATTCCCAAGCTCTTTGTAGATGGCAGCACTGTTCGTCAGGTTTGAATGGTTTCCGCCTTTGGCGTATAAAACATTTGTGATTTATTCAGCATAGTGAGTAGAATAAGCTAAAGTTGATATAGCATTTGAAGAGCGGAACACTAGTAGGTAGATTTTACTTCAAACAGCTGAAATTGGGATTATTGCCGTTGCTTGAAAGTTTATTGCAAAGACTTCACATGCTAAGCCTTTCACTAAGTCGGTACCGTAGGAAGAAACAAACATACAAAACCCATCGAAATTCAAGCACATGAGCATTAATGACGCACCTAACTTGCAGAGGGCTCATCAGTTCGCACATTTGCTATAAGCTGATCATGACGTCACCGTGTGCTACAGGACGGGTTCGGTGTATCCAACAAGACAAACATCAAGACCTTCAAGCCATTCTTCACGGAGGTCACGTTGCCGTACTCCGTAAAGCGTGGAGAGATCCTTAACATGGCATCCACCGTGTTCAACTTCCTCGACTCCAGTCTGTCGGTAAGCGGGTCACAAAACACTTCCTCGCGCTTTTGGACCGGCTGTCCCCATCCGCATAGTGGGGCAGCTACTGATTTGCTCTCATTATGAATCTTGCCTTGATGGGCTGCTTGCAGGGGCTCCCTCATAATCATATATTGTCATAAGAACACTACATCCGTGACATACCGGCGAACATGCAGGGAAACTTATGCAAATATATTTTACCTATTTGAGGATATTGAGGCTATCATCGCATATAATAACATAAGCTCACTTTTAACTTATGGCACGCTTTTAAGTGCACTCAACTATTCCAGGCAATACATTTCAGTTATCAAGTAAATTCCTCCGTAACACGTCATCTTTTCATTCCTACATTGAACGAATGACGTCAGGGAGGCTACCAAGGTGGCCCTAAGAAATTCCGGCCGCAGGGGACGGGCCAGCTCACTTGTAGTAATTTAACTTCCCAGGAGGTGTTGACCTCTCAGAGAGATGTTGGCAAGCCCCGAATATTGCTACGTGTGCGTGTTGTGGCCCTTTCTCCTGGTGTTCTTACGCACTATGTGTTTAGCTTTCCTTGTTCAGTTGCATTCACCTCCTCGGTTTAGGCGCTATTCGTACGCTATTCATGTATTCGTGTATACCTGCGTAATTTCTGTCATACCTGGTGCCACTGTTTTACTTTCTGTATCAAGCGGGAAAAAACGTGACTCGTGTTCGAAACTTTCACTGTATGCATAACTTTACCGCCAATTGAATTCCGCTGCAAGGCAGAAATCGTGCCGACCTAAGCCAGCCACAAAGACCTGATAATAGCAGATAGTAATATTTATACTGGGCTTGAGAACCGCATGGCCAATAAAGAAGTACTATTTGCGTGTCGCTTCTATCGAATCATGTATGCCAGAGTGATCTTGGAATAGTCTGCACGAAAAAATCTGCTCTAGTTGGCAGGCGCCTAGCTCAGAAATCAGATGGTTTTAAAGAGTTTTCCACATCGGTGCGGGGTTTTGAACTGAAATAATATTCTTTAAGATCATTCGGTGCAGCTCACAACCCTGCCTTCTTGCAACCTAGTTCCTTTTCATTTCTGAACTACACGCCTGCGAAGATATGCAGACTTTTTCGTGCAGACTACTTCAAGGTAACGCAGGCATCCATGGTGTCATAATAATGTCATTCAAATCCTGCCATTCTGGTCATGCGACGATTTAAGCCAAAAGAAACTATCGTTTTCAAGTCGATCATATCTGCCGTTAGTGTGCACGATTTTCAGATATCATGGCCGTAAAATGGCTCTTAATTCACGCTCGGGTGGCGGTGAAACTGACCCCCCCCCCGAGGCTTTTTCCGGAATGGTTTCCGAACGGTGTGACGTAGCTGCACCAAATTGTGCATGGCTGTAAACAATTGAATAGCGCATCGTTTCGTATCAAACAGTCAGATGTACCTTGTTAAGTCGCTGACCTACGGCAGGTCAGTGTCAGGCCATGGTTTCAGCGAGGTCAATTTCTGGGGAAGGGCTCAACCTGATGCAACGACGGAGCGTTAGACGAAGCCATGCATCTCTGAGTTACTTTCTTAGACAACACAACAATTAAATTACACTGACCTAGAATCAGTTATGTAGGTCAGATCAAGGTCAAAATCAACTAGCTTTATTATTCTCGAGCTTGCTGTATGAGGTAGTTTCTGGTGCTCGTTCGAAATTATTGGTGACAGTAATCGCGTTATGCATTTTCCGTGGTCTTCTTCAGGGTCGGAATAGGCCGCTGGTCTAAAATTGCCCAGGTCAACATTTTGTTGTCAGCAACATATTGCTTAGCTTAAGCTTTGCCGCTTCGTGTCAAATGGAAAACTCAAAGCAGTCTTGTATGATTTTGGTCACCATGACCTTTAAATGGTTAAACAAAGCCACTCACCTCAGGCGAGCATGTGACCTTTTGTTTAGAAATGTTGTCTAAGTTCTGAAGGCGCTTGGGAGACTAAACTGGAACTTGCTTGACCATAGTTGATCTCATGGTCGTAACCTAGGAGCTGCAAAATTTGCCTCATTGATTTCATGTACACGCCAATACGCCCTGTAAATTTTGTGTCTCTAGCTCTCTTAGTTCGTGAGACCTGAGGGGGATCAAATTGACCCCCACCGGAGCGAAGGGTGCCCAACCGGCCACTCGGTCGCGTGTAAGTCAATGCTGTTCAAGGTGCGATGACATAAGATGACAATGACACGTTAAGGATCATATTTACCAAACAGATAAATTGCGTATTCTTGAAAAATGTTTTCCACTTAAGGGTATACCAAACGTCATTAGTGAGCTTATTTCATTATATCTGATGCTTGCTGAAATGTCTTCAAATGTGGAGCATTCCCTTTATATATATATATATATATATATATATATATATATATATGTAGTTGCGACGTATTGACACCCTATGCCTACTCTAGCTTGAGTAAACCTTAGAGCATTTTATGCGGGCATGTGGAATTTTAATGTCAAGAAATGGGTTGCGAGACATCTGACGAGCATGTCGATCGGTCAGGGAGATGTAACGCCGAAGGAAGTGTACCGCTGAAGGTGGTGTTCGGGAGGTGTGTGGGATTGAGAGCTGATAAAGCGATTTGCACATGATTTAGCGTAGTTGACAACCTTGTCATTCCTAAGACGAGCATATATAGTATATATATATATATATATATATATATATATATATATATATATATATAGAGATATATTCTCGGAAGATAGTAGAATGCACTTGCCAGATAAGCAGATATTCCTTCTAAAAACCTACCCTACTGGTAAAATCACATCTGGCCGAACTGTTTGTAGTACCCGCCTCCCAGACGCCCCCAACTCCATACGTTAGTATGGAGTTGGGGGCGTCTGGGCGTCCCTCCCCACCTCAGGCATCACCCGGCTACATTAACAGACATTGCAGTTCACACAAGCTACCAGTTGCAGATGTTGCAGTGCACATCTGCACATCAGTTGCAGATGTTGCAGTGCAGTCCTGCACACCAGTTGCAGATGTTGCAGTGCATTTCTACAACCACTTGCATATGCTGCAGTGCAGTCCTGCACAACAGTTGCGCCCTGTAGTAAAAGTTTCCCAAATGTTAGTGAACTTCGTTCCCGGCAGGTGTACCTAGAGCTGGTGGCGTCGGACGATTACTCACTGGCGGACGAAGACTCGCCCGCGAGCATTGACCTCTGTGTGCCGGCGGGCCGCTCCGAGGTCAGCCACTTCCCGCTGACCTTCACCTCTCTGGGCGAGGTCAACATCACCGTCACGGCCAGACTCCGAGACGGCAACTGTGACCAGCCGAACACCGTCGGCCCCGGCAGGTGGGTTTTCTATTGTTTTTAGCCGTGGCGGTGGTGTTTTCTCAATGATGTCACATGATTGATTGGTGCAAATACGTTACCGGATCACTTGCCGTCTGTGGCACAGTGACTTGGATCAAAATAAACCAGAGTTACCTGCACTAGTGCGATATGAAACTGATGAAAACAAGAAAATCAGTTTCATAAAAAGCCAAGTATACAATTCGGCCGAAGGATGTAGCATCCCAACTCTTTAATTTGAATCCGGTTAGGTAATGTAAGGAGGACCTATATTTATCTAGGTCTGTAGAATTGTAGTGTTCACGGGAAATGTAAAGAAAGAAGTTGCTCCGTAATCAGCAAGCATTGATGACGTTTCATAAGCGCAGCTGATTTGTCCATGGGGCAGACTGTCACTTCAAAACTGAAATAAATTAAAGTAAAGCTTCGCCTTTCGTAAAATAGCATTGGTGGTCAAGAGAAGCTGGCGCTGGCTAAGAGGGGAAAGGCTGATCATTTATGCACAGAATCAGCCTGTAGTGGAAAATTCCCTAGCTATGAAGCGATGCTAACATATCAGGGTAGGCTCTGTATGCGGGGAGACCGCTGTATGCGTCTGTGAGAAAACCAGTGCAACTTCAGTTCGTATGGTAACTTTTTTGTATGCATCACGAACATATGTTAAGAAGTGCATTGGCTAAAGATAGCGAGTTAGTAAGAAAATGTACATCTTTCCCAGATGTCGCAAATTCCACCTGATCATTTTTCTGTATTGTTGTGACCCAGACATGACGTAAGCCCACAAAATACACATCGAAGGGTAAGGATAGTCAGCTATTTCAGTTACACTGTCGATTTTAGCTATTTTAGCCTATGATGTTCGCATACGGGGTACCAGTAAGCTTTGGCCATGAACACACAAACCGAACAACTTTATTGATTTCTGTAAGAAGCGGAACGATGTCAAAATGCAAAGGATGTATGCATTTCAGCGACATAAAGCAGTGATCGTCATTTGTTTTGTGCTGTTAGCTAAGAAGTCTGCTCCACATCCCGATGTGAGTGTGAGAGGATGGACACAATTATCTAAACATCTGACGTGCTGGGATGAAAGGGATAATGACTGTGATTTATCCGATTAACTCGTCATCATTGTCATATAATCACTTTAAATTTGTGTCGTTCAGGTCACTGCGAACACCAAAATGTCGGGTATGATGACTATACAAGAATATGTCGGATATGATGCCATGATTAACGTCGACAGAATACGTTCTTTGTCGTCCAGTTTTCTCTCCGTAAAAGGACTTTCTCCGATATCTTGCATGCTCGGAATCTCCCAAGCTTCTGTGATTGGTATGCTATTGCTAGCACAAACACCGTGACGCTCCTGCTGTGACCGACAGTGATACAATCATTCGTCCGCTAGTGGTCAAGCCCGAGGGATTTCCGCAAGAGGAGACGACGTCACGGTTCGTGTGCCTGGACGAAGGTGAGTGATGACTCTTGTAACAGATTCATCTGTAAGTAGGTCTTGAATTAGTCCAGTGAACTCGCTTGGCGCCTGACAGTGCGTGGCGCGTGCTTGCGTGCGTGCGTGCGTGCGTGCGTGCGTGCGTGCGTGCGTGGGTGCGTGCGTGCGCGTGTGTGTGTGTGTGTGTGTGTGTGTGTGTATGTGTGTGTGTGTGTATGTGTGTGTGTGTGTGTGTGTGTGTGTGTGTGTGTGTGTGTGTGTGTGTGTGTGTGTGTGTGTGTGTGTGTGTGTGCGTGCGTGCGTGCGTGCGTGTGTGCGTGTGTGCGTGCGTGCGTGTGTGTGTGTGTGTGTGTGTGTGTGTGTGTGTGTGTGTGTGTGTGTGTGTGTGTGTGTGTGTGTGTGTGTGTGTGTGTGTGTGTGTGTGTGTGTGTGTGTGTGTGTGTGTGTGTGTGTGTGTGTGTGTGTGTGTGTGTGTGTGTGTGTGTGTGTGTGTGTGTGTGTGTGTGTGTGTGTGTGTGTGTGTGTGTGTGTGGTGTGTGTGTGTGTGTGTGTGTGTGTGTGTGTGTGTGTGTGTGTGTGTGTGTGTGTGTGTGTGTGTGTGTGTGTGTGTGTGTTAGTTTGATGGTGGTCTGATGGTGTGCTATGAAGTCTGTGGGTGCGTGCCGTCTAAGTAGAGGTAACGGTGTTTGAAGTACTTCGGAACATGGTGTTGAGTGAGGTCTGATAGCTCTTGGCGGTGTATGGTGACAGCTAGGGGGATTAGGACAATGGGCGTCGAAACGGCCCGAGGAACATTCCGGTCCTGATAACTAAAGAGCATACTATAGCTTTGTCATGTGCGTTAGAAGCAGTTTTTCCGTGGAAAGCTAGAAACTACTGCCTTGGTAGCAGTATTATTGCAATTAGAGGTGCTTAATATCAATAATATTGCAAAACCAAGTTTTAGGAAACGCTCTTACAATGTTTTAAACTTAACGATGTAACTCAATATTAATGTATTCAAGCGTTTTGTATTTTAGGCATCTGGTAAAAGAAAACTTAACGCTCCTGAGCAGTTTTGGTTTAGGGTAGAATGCAACATGTGTGGCTTTGCTTTTTTTACTCAGAAATGTTCGCAAGAAAACCACCAGGTGCTCTTGCCGCGTGACCTCAAGCTCCGGTTGTTCATGACACGAAACAACCAGCGAACAGCGGTTGGGGATTTGCCACTACAATTCCTATGTTTTCAGTGTTTTCATTGATAACATAACCACATGCTTGATTTCGACGATGATCAGCTATATTAGCGACGAGGAGTCTGTTATGGATCGCTATGATAGGCCTAAGTCCGTGATGCGGCCGGACCGCCTGTTATGGTTGGCCTTTGATCAGCTCGTGATGTGTCAGGAGCCGAGCCTCACGTGGAGCAGATTTCGATGGTGGCTCCTGAAGGCCTGGTGCCGGACTCTGAACGGGCCTATTTCTCCGTGGTGGGGGATCTGCTCGGACCTTCGTACGACGTGAGTTTGCCCCAGATGTACCTCTCATCCGTAGACCCAGTTTTGATTCATGACACGCACAGATGCTACGAAGTGACAACAAACGTGACAGCAACATGTGTCGGCTCGCCGCGCGGGTTCGGTGGAGTTGTCTGTTATCGCTTGCTGCCGTTTGTTCGAGAAAACAAAAACATCCCTTACGAGATACAAGCGGGGCGAGAGTTAAGGTTTTTGTGCCAAGCATGCGCATTAAATGCCACATCAGCTACCGAAAAATTCGACATAATTTCATGATATGCTGGACAGATTTACTTTGAAAACCTTGGGGGAGAGGAAATACAAGTTGAGTGTGATTTTTGTGATTTGCTCATGCTCAGTCTTGTCTTAAAATGATGTTTCGCTGGTGTAATGATGTTTCGCTGTAATGACTGGTATGTAAAGGCTTGCAAGTTAATTTACGTTGAGCTTTCACCCTGAGTTTCTCACTGGTCACCTTTCAGAAAGTGAACTGAGGGGTAAGTAGTTATAAATGGGTATTTGGTGTCACTGAATTCCTTGCATTATGATATCCCAAAAGCGAATGTCATTCATGCTCTCTCTGCTACGGTCGAAGTATCTGGCCATGAAACTCGCGCGAAAAGCTGCAGAACACGGGCCCAAGCCGAGCACCACCTGGGCAAGCAAGCTGGAGTGAAGCAAAGTGAACACGTGACAAGTGGTGAAAGGATGGACAGCTGTCAGCTCTGAAGTTTGAATCGGTGTATACAGCTGGTCGGCCGCTTTCCAGCCAGGGAACATCCTGTGCTCTGTGTGACTGAGGCTTCGCGTCAGATTCGGAAGCAGATTACATCAAGGCGCAGTATCAACGATTCGGGGTGGGAAAGTGTCTTGTCTCCAGCCTAGCCTTTTGGACATTCTTAGCCTGCGCCCGGCCGGGGGGGGCGTTGACTTTGCTCCCTGGCATCTCCAGCTTCCAGACGTCTTACGAGGAAAAAAGCGTACCGCTAGACACGTTTTGTCAAATAATGAAAGACGAAGTTTTTATCAAATATTTACCCTTTTACCTTTAAGTGTCAAATACTAGAGGTTACAAAAGACGAAAGGGCGTCCTGACACCTGTAGTATAAATATGCTAATATGCCAAGAAGAATATTGGGGGCGCATAAGAAAACGTTTCGACTGTGAGGAATTCATTCCGATTATTTGTTTTCCCACACAAGGGTCAGGTCAGGTCAGCCCACCGTTGAAAATTGGACTTTCATTAGCTAACAAGAACGATACTTGTGTGGTTTCCTTCACAACGTGCTACTGACTAAGTATATTTCATTGGGCGCAGTTATGGAAAAGCGTCGCAGACACAAAATTGTCATTTTGGACCGACCTTATGGTAGGCTGAAGCCAACTTAGGTCAAACTCAGAACCATCAAAATGAAGGAATTGAGGTGCTCGCCGAGTCTAAGTGACAAGTACGACTAAGTCACAGTTATTCACGAAAATGGCAAAACTGACTTCACCTGAGGTCTCTAATCTTCCCTGCATCGAAAAGAAATATTCAAACTGAAGGTGCTGTCACGTTCTGTAACTATAATAAATTTTAACTATGTGAAATCAGGTACAAAAAAATATGGATGGTCAATGCTTTTTTTCCAAATTGACATTTTTGACCCGACATAGGTCAGTTATCTTGACAAATCGACCTGCTCAAATTTGCACAATGTGTACCACATCGTTAGATAAACTGGTGCTAAAAATTCGCTGTTGCTGCGAGCGTCTGTCCTTGAGCTGTGTTGGAAAACCGTAGGAGGAAGTCAAGTCCCCTCCCAGGACGGGCGTGGGTCAAAAACGTCTGACCCATAACGGGGACATTGCACATAAATCGATAAGTGCTTTACACGCTTGTCCTTCGGATTTCGACTTTGTTAGGTCACAGCGGTCGTCATCAACGTTGAAGTCACCTGTGACGTTTTCAAGTCTTTCAGTCGCAGCATTTTGGATTTGTAGCCTCCGGCAATTCGTGTTGCGTGATCTCAAGGCTACATTCAGGGTCGATTTTTCCCTTTACTTAAAAAATAATGTGGCAAGCCTACACGTCAAAATGATGTAAAAGTTTGCCAGCATCCCTTATGCTATTCTTCGGGGCGTCATTGTGCAAAAAAAAGATCAGGTCATTATTATCTGCTGCAAAGCACGCAAAACATCTTTCCTATGTGCCATTTATCTTTTTCTCGTCAGCCTGTAAAAAGCGTAGCTTGGTTTCTAGATTCCAAAATTAAAAAAGGTGGTTATCGGCCAGGGAAAAACATGGTCTTTGCACTGAAGAGTCATGCGTAACGCACGAGGACTGGCCGTGCGGCGCGCCGCATCGCCAGCTGCCCATCCGCCCCCCCCCCCCCCGCGCCCCACCTTTCCCCATTTAGACTGTCAACGCCGGGGTAATTGGAGCAAAGGGGAGGGATGGAGAGGTGAGTGTTTACTGCGATGATGGTGTCGTCTCTTGTTCATGTGGGGCGGCTCAGAAGTGAGGCAAGGGCCCAATGGTAAGGCCTTCGCTCTGCGCCTGTTTTCCGAATTGGCGTATTGGCAGTGTGCCTGTCGACAAGGACACGATCAAATAACTCCAGTTGTGTTGATCCATTTGGGAAGCACAAAATAAGAGCAAGTCGAGATTTGAGAACCGTCAAATGAATTGTTAAACAGACAGAGACAGTTATTGGCACAGCTCTGTGCCAGTAGTGAACGGGGAAACGGATACTGTTTTCGAAACTGATGGCCTTCACCTGAACAGATTAACAACGAGCGGCACAGAAAAGCCTAGCCGTGTTCTTTACGTCCAGCAGCCATAAAAATGTTATGATTGAGTGCTGGTTTGAGACCATGATGTTAACGAATAGCGGGGTAATGAGAGACAGCAGTCTTATGATGTCAAACTTCATCTATAATGGCGGACACGAGCTTTTGGCCCCGAGTCTCCGTTATGTCTAATGTTTTGGCAAATACACTGTGAAACATTAAATTCGTTCGTTCAGTGAACATGCGCACATGTCGGTATAGGTGCCAGCCAACGAAGAACACTTTACAACATCCGCATGCATGCGAAATGTGACGCTGGTTTCTAGATATATGTACATCGTACATATGCCATATATTTCCAGGCGTACATCTTATCTCACACTTCACACATGCATCTTACATAATAATTTTCCACAAGCTACGTCTTCAGTAATTCAGGTTCTCGTTATTGGCCCAAAAGGAGCACACGTGAAACGTACAGATCCCGACTCTAAAACAGAAAATTATCATTCGATGCGTTGCTGGATGCAAACATTGTAATGCCTCATAAAAACGATGTGGTGGTAGTGCAGCATTCTTCAGTAAGACGTTTGAGTCAGATGATGTTATAAAATGTTCTTTGGTGACTTCCCATATTCATAAGCGTGCATGGCTTTGTTTGTGCGCGTGAATTTGCTGTTCAACGTGACTTTGAGAAAACTCAAGTTGGGGGAAACCCTGGATCAATCGTTCGTCTTTGCTATTTGTAGGTGAAGTGTCATATTATGAGACTGTGCTTTCTCATTCACATGCTTGGTACCCTAAAGATGTTATATGTTACAATAGTCCGTCTGCATTGCCACCAGACGTAAATCAAGGTTACTTCATCTGTCATGCTGAAAACACCGGCAGTGGCGAGTCATGTGGGAATTCGGTCGTCGAGCATTGCCAATCGTATATTAGATCACAGCACTACACAACATCGTACCAAAATACCAATAACTACACCCATCACGGTTATTTTCAAGAAAATAAAGCGCCGTGCTGGGTTATGATATGCCGTGTGGACAAGTTCAAGCTCTGTTGCAAACAGAAAGTTTTTGGTGTTCAGTTATGGTCAGTGACGTTCTTTGCCCGTCAGAGGGTCAGGGTAACCAGGACCTACGAGACTGCTCCGGTGTTGCTATTCGAATAAGCAACAGGGATCACGCTGGCAGTGTATACCTAAAGCAGCATGTTGCGCTGGGTCATTTTACCTAAATAAATTACTCTATTTTTCTACGAAATATCCATGAAACTCATTTGTTGTTGCCCTGGTCACTGAAAAATTCTAAACAATCGCCAAAAGGCACCCCATAACGCAAGGTCTTGAGTGAAAAACATATTTGTTTTTACCTCGATGTGCCCGTCATACCTGACCCTAGGTCAAGAAAGTTTGTCGCTTTTCTAAATTCAATTGGCGTATTGCCTAGGAAACTATCCCAGGATTGTATCGCTTCATCTAAAACGACGCTGCCGCATCAGATTGAACGATTCCTTACAAATGGCCTTTGGTCGAAGCTATGTTCTGATTTTGACATGCATAGATAAGCGATCTTACAAGACATGTCTAATTTTTTGGGTTAATAGATCCGCTTTCAGCTGCTTACAGCTACGTGAGCAATTTCCGAGCGTCATTTCCATAGCGCCGTTCGGAAATCATTCTAGAAAACGTTTGAGGCGTCGAATTGGCCTTCACCCGAGCGCGTATTCTGACCCTTGAAACAGAACTCACCAAGAATTGGCTGGCAGCGTCGAATGTTGATATAACCAACAGTGCGAAGCACATTTGCTGCTGCGCCATATGGACAATGCGAAAGTCGGAGATTAAGGAAAAGTATCACTGAACTAGTGGCATCGGCTGGAAACCGATGTAAGTGGTGCATTGTCAAAACTTGATTACGTCACCGAACTGGTCACTGCACTTCATGGGCTTCTACATGTAATTGCGTCCCCTCATTGATCAACAATTGCTGGTTGAATGGCATCGTATTTTTGTGATCAAAGTGAGCAAACTGCGTTATTCCGAGGGAACATATCGAGGCAACTCCTGCTCAACTCCTTTGAATGGCACACTTCCTGCATACTGGTCAGAACTGTGTGGACTGTACTGTGCTTGGGTCCCTTCACTTGGATTTCGGACTAATATCACGGCATGGGCGGAGTTAATGAGTTTCACGTCGGTCAAAGCCAAGCCCACTATTGCAGTTCAATGCACTCAGCACGCTTCCAGTTTCAGTCCGGTGTGGAAGATGCTCCACTGACTTATAGGCGTGCATTTACCACCGGCCGTGACCGCCAGAACCTGGCCCACCTGGTGGACATCCCATTCAGTGGAGGAGAGACCAACATGCTGGCCTTCGTGCCGTACATCCACATGAGGGCGTACCTGGAGCACACCGGACTGTTGACGTCCGAGGAACGGGACCGGACCACCATCGGCATGAGACAAGGTGAGACAGAGACCTGGAGCACACAGGACTGCTAACGTCCCGTGACCAGGACCGGACCACCACCGGCATGAGACAAGGTGAGACAGAGACCTGGAGCACACAGGACTGCTAACGTCCCGTGACCAGGACCGGACCACCACCGGCATGAGACAAGGTGAGACAGAGACCTGGAGCACACAGGACTGCTAACGTCCCGTGACCGGGACCGGACCACCATCGGCATGAGACAAGGTGAGACAGAGACCTGGAGCACACAGGACTGCTAACGTCCCGTGACCGGGACCGGACCACCATCGGCATGAGACAAGGTGAGACAGAGACCTGGAGCACACAGGACTGCTAACGTCCCGTGACCAGGACCGGACCACCACCGGCATGAGACAAGGTGAGACAGAGACCTGGAGCACACAGGACTGCTAACGTCCCGTGACCGGGACCGGACCACCATCGGCATGAGACAAGGTGAGGCAGAGACCTGGAGCACACAGGACTGCTAACGTCCCGTGACCGGGACCGGACCACCACCGGCATGAGACAAGGTGAGACAGAGACCTGGAGCACACAGGACTGCTAGCGTCCCGTGACCGGGACCGGACCACCATCGGCATGAGACAAGGTGAGACAGAGACCTGGAGCACACAGGACTGCTAACGTCCCGTGACCGGGACCGGACCACCATCGGCATGAGACCAGGTGAGACAGAGACCTGGAGCACACAGGACTGCTAACGTCCCGTGACCGGGACCGGACCACCACCGGCATGAGAGACTGGAACCTGTGGATACTTTGAAGGTGAGCAGCATCAACTCGACAACCACGGTAAGTGAGAAACAAATACGTACTAGGGACGCACTGTGACACTACGATACCCTATGAGACTGAACATGCGTGAGCAGAAGAAGCAACAACATGAGCCACAGGGTGAACACGAGCGAGAGACACATCGAAACATGACCAGTAACACATGGGGACATGGGGACCAGCATCACATGGGGACAGAGCAACACAGGGGGCATGGGGATCAGCAGCACATGGAGAGAGAGAGAGAGAGAGAGAGAGAGAGAGAGAGAGAGAGAGAGAGAGAGAGGAGAGAGAGAGAGAGAGAGGAGAGAGAGAGAGAGAGAGAGAGAGAGAGAGAGAGAGAGAGAGAGAGAGAGAGAGAGAGAGAGAGAGAGCGACACAGGGGACATGGGGACCAGCAGCACATGGGGAGAGAGCAACACAGGGGACATGGGGACCAGCAGCACATGGGGAGAGAGCAACACAGGGGACATGGAGACCAGCAGCACATGGAGACAGAGCAACACGGGGGACATGGGGACCAGCAACACATGGGGACAGAGCAACACAGGGGACATGGGGACCAGCAGCACATGGGGACAGATCAACACAGGGGACATGGGGACCAGCAGCACAAAGGGACGGAGCACACTCCTGTAAACGTGGATGGCGCAGCGTGGTGGGCGCGCCGCTTGTTGCATCGGATTTGTGTTTTGTTTGCTTGGCGTTCCCCTCTTTCGTTACTCCTGTGATTTATCTCCACACCTCAGGGTACCAGACCAAATCACAGTTCCCATACCACCTGTGACTTCCTAATGTCGTTCCCCAGGATATCAGGCCCAGCTGCGGTACGGGAATAAAGAGGCCTCTTACTCCTCGTTCGGTCGGGACGACGAGGAAGCCTCGCTGTGGCTCACCGCCTTCGTCGTCAAGTCTTTCAAGGAGGCGTCCAAGTACATTGATATCAGTGGGTGCAACCCGTCGGCGAAAATAAGTATTTTGCTTGTGGGAATGAGTGGAGATAATGGACGAATAGAATAGCTCTGTTGGCGCCTCTAACGTGCACACTGGGCTCAGTGTTGCGTACGTCTCTGCACTTACTCTGGGAAAAGGTATCATTATTGTCGTTGTCGTTGTCATGTTCAACATCATCCTCATTGCCACTGCCATTGTCGTTGCCATGTTTGGCATCATCATCATTGCGAGTGAAAGTAGAAGCGCTAGTCAGTGCAGTGCTGGATTATGATCAGAGCTGTTTTTTGCGCGAGGCGGAGGACCCTGGCATGCTGGCACAACCAAAGCCACAGAAATGCCGACACCGCCAGATACCGCCGCTACATCAGGGGTACAGAGAGGGTTTCTACCATCCAGTGCCCAACCGTCGTATTGAGGTCAAGTCGAAGGGTCACCCATGGCCAGCAACAGATAGATGGTAGGGAAGCCAGGGGCGGCGCCAGGATTTTGTGTTTGGCTGTAAGGGGAGGGGAGGCGGCGGGGCATTATTTTCAAGAGGGTTTTGTGGATGAAATGAGACGTCCTCGAAATGGGAGGGGTACAGAGAGTATGTGCTGCTTTATCAAACAGCAGCATGCATCATATCCAAAACAAATAAATTTCCACACTTAAAAAAGGCAGAATTAATCTGAAATAAGGTCTCCCTATTCATAGCGAGGCCTTCTAGTCCAGAACCGGATGCTTCCCATTCACGAAGGGTCCTCCAAATGTAGCTAAGGGGATCTGAACAACGGATTCCGATGGATCCGTCGGTCAGAGCGTCTGCGTTCCGATTCATCCACTTGTGGATGGTTCGAGTCTCATTAGACGTTAACCGTTTGACCTTGGTAGGCATAGCCTGCGGCCGGCGGCAGCAGCCGCGCTTAAGGTCAGGTGACGTCATTGGGCACGACGGACTGTGCCGAGCATTGCGGCACGTTAAGCTTGCGCCGCCAAATGCTGCCGCTCACCTGTCATTGTGCGATCGGATGGTAGGGTTCAGGACTCACACAAAAAACACTGCTAAGCATGAGCTTTGATTCCAGAGAATCTATCCATTCAAACGGTTCGGAGTGAATCTTTAAGCTTTGACCCCAGAAAATCCATCCATTCAAACGGTTCACCGTGAATCTTTAAAAAACACATTGATGCATGGAAAGGGCCTCCGGCGCAGGAAATTAGGCCTCCTGACTATAGAGGGTGCCTGCTTATCCACAACAGGACCTCCATGGTTATAACGGGGCCTAGCAAGACAGGGAGCAGGCCTCCTCAACTCAACATAATGCCTTCTGATCTAGAATGTGGACTACCTCATTCATACAAGTGGCCTTATGGTCCGGAAGGTGGGCTTCTTCATGCAAAAGAGAGTCTTCTGAGTACGATACAATCTCTAAAAAAATAATTAATCTCTAACTCAATCATTAGGGCCTCCTTGATCTCAATTTGGTAATCTACGGGAGGATACCGTGTCTTCAGTTTGGAAAAGGGGATCCACCGCATTGTTTTTTTTTGGGGGGGAAACGTACTCGTGCCCCCTCTGCCTCCCCTTTCTTCGCACTGCAACACCCCTGGCGGCAGAAGCCGGGTAAACGCTACTTTTACCCAGTAGCTGACCTAAGCTGCCCTCCCCCCCCCCCCCCCCCCAGATAAAGAGCGTACGAATCCCAGTGAAAGACGGCTGGTACTGTAGAAGCAGGGTAACGGCTGATGGTCTTCACTAACTAACCACAACCTCCTTGCCAGGCCAGTCGCTGATCACGCGGAACGAGAAATGGCTGGTGCGGAAGCAGCAAGATGACGGCTGCTTCCCTCTACTTGGCAGCGTCATTCACAAGGAGCTCAAGGCGAGTGATGCGTCATCATGATGGCGAATGGAACAGAGCACTCCGGCATCCCGCGGCCCCACGCTGATGCTGAGAGTATCGGGACCAAGGGCTCTCAGACTGGCGTCGAAGTGTGGAGCGAGGATGATGGACTCAGCAAGCATACTTGACAGCAGCCCTAGACTCACTGGGATGCTGGAGGAGCCCCAGGAGTTCCCAACCTTCCGTGCCACGCTTCCGTGCCAACTTCCGTGCCAACTTCCGTGCCACGCTTCCTTCCGTGCCACGCTTCCGTGCCAACTTCCGTGTTACGCTTCCTTCCGTGCCACGCTTCCCGTGTAACTGGAAGCTTGCAGCCGAGATTCTTACCCCCAAACTGCCATTCATAAATGATCATGGTATGAGCAGAGCACGTGGGCCCTCACAACCATGCTCTGTTTAAAGATGCTGATGCTGACATTGGCATCTTCAAACACGACGTATGATGCTGCTTGGCTGCTTTCAGGGTAGTGGGTAAAATAATCACGCACGTTGGAAAAATCTGCATCTGACCTGACTAGGACACGCTCAATATGACGCCCGCATGTTCACTCACCAGGGCGGCACGGAGCGGGGCGGTCCGGCCGCCCTGACGGCGTTCGTCATGCTCGCCCTCGGGGCGGACAACAACAGCAGCCTGGAGAAAGGCTTCACCTGCCTGGAGCAGGGCATCAGTCAGACCAACAAGACACTGTACGCCGAGGTATGGCTTATTACATCTGATGGTGTCATCATAACTATTGATTGAGCGTGGTTTCCCTTAATGTGGATGACCTACGAGCCCCACGCTCTCGACAGCAACACTTGCTGCACTATTCCATATGTCAGTAACAACGCATCAACGCATTGGTGAAAGACGGTTTACTTAGTTCTTTCCAGCGCAAGACAATGATATGTTTGGATGAATTTACATTACTCCGTGCGCGCCCACCCCTTTCTCTTGCGTGACTAGGACGATAGGCGTGAGCTTGGCCAACCGGCATTATCTGTGGAGGATGGGAGAGTGCGACTCTGTTCCTTGAAGTGCTGGAAGTCACTTCGTTCGTTTGCCCCTGACTTTACTCCTTGTCATTTGCTGCCAGAGTGTTAATGTTAAAATGACCCAACGTTGTGTTAGGCGTCCGTCCCCATTAGCTGAGCTCCAGGCCTTTAAACAGGGCGCTGTTCGTGCTCCAAACGCCGCCCTATTCGATGTGAGGAGCTGCAGCTGTCCCCTGTCACGCAGGTGCTGATAGCCTACACACACGTGGCGCTGGGCCGGGAACAGCGCGGCCAACAGCTGATCTCCGCTCTGATGCAGAAGGCCAAGACGGACGGACCGGACGCCCTCTTCTGGGAAGGCGATCGCCGCTCCATCTGTGAGTGACGTATTCCGGATGGCAGTTTACTGCAACTGCATCTGTCATCTTGAAATGACACTTCATATCACGTAGGATATATTGATGGCAATTGCAGTTCTATGGGTGATGTCGGTCATCTTAGAGGAAACCTGGGACCAGTGACGTCATGTACTGAGAGAATAACGACAACCCTGTGCATGATGTCATGCTGTCGTGCGTACGGTGCCTGTGATGCCAAGTGGGAGGGCAATGCTATTTCTTTCTTTTCTTGGAGAGGGCGATGAATATTGGACGCGGTAGTGACGTCATCTATTGTGACGTCTAGTGACGTCTATGATAAGTGACGTCAAATTAACCTCTACAACTTCATCTCTGAGTACCGCCTCATTTTTGTGATGGTGAATGACCACAGCTTCATTTGTCGGTTTTGCAATTCGGAAACGTGACCGAAACACCATTCAAGACATGGTCTGCATCGCAGCCAGCTCATTTTGTAAGTGAAAGTGTCTTCGGGGGTGCCGGGAAATGACCACAACTGGCCATGACTCCATTTGGTAATGCACATCGGCATAATGGTGTGTATGGTGCTCTTCTTGATCCACAGACGGCGGCAGTCGGGCGGTGGACATTGAGATGACGGCGTACATGGTGCTCTCCCTGGTCCAGCTCTCGGGTCAGGAGAACATGGAGCAGGCGGCGCGGGCCGTCAAGTGGATCAACAGACAGCGCAACAGTCTGGGCGGCTTCATCTCCACACAGGTAGACCGTGGCATCGTGTTGTTGTGAAAAGCTTAGGAACGGTTCATTGATACAGGTATACGATCATGAGATTGCAGAGGTTGGTTCGACCTGGCCGGCTGAGCATGAACGTGATAAGTGTCACAGATTCGAACCTGACATTTGCCGACCGACAATGAGTATTTTTCTCGTTGAGTTTGAATCAGAGAATGCCTGGACGCTTCCGAGGTAAAAAAAAGAAAGAAAAAAAAGCGGGCTGCAACAGTCAAATGCATCAAGAACACTGTGCAGGGAGTTTTAAACGTTTGAAACCCACCAGAGCAAGTCGCAATATTTCAATGATTTGACGGCGTGTGCTTTCTGGCGCATAGGATACGATCGTGGGGCTACAGGCACTAACGGAGTTTGCCAAACGTACTTTCTCCTCGGAATTGTCCACTCGCGTGACAGTCAGTGCTGGTGGAACTCCTTCCACACTCGTGGTGGACTCTTCCAACCGACTTCTGCTGCAACAAGAAAAAGTGGCCGATTTTGAGGTGAGTGGCTGAGAAACCGTGAGGAACTCGGCGATTTGAGCCGGTTTGGAAAGTGTTGGTATGTTATATAACTTCAGTTGTGGTATAAGCGTTGCGTATGAAAGATGGACCTGACACCACGTAATATCCGCATCCCTCGATGTGGTCCTCCAGGTTGAAACTCTGCTGATGCGCGAGGTGAGGTTTTAGCTCATGCAGGTGATGTGTTATGAGTCGACTCATAAGCCCCAGTCTTGGGTCGACTGGTGACACTGTCATCTTGTCCGCAGCTGCCAGCTGAGGTCACCTTTACCATCAGCCCGGCAGGCTGCGTCATCTACCGCACCAGCTTCCGCTACTCCAGCCGCGCTCGAGTATGTGGCCTGGCACGCACCACGGACTCCTGACGACGCCGTTCATGGTCCGCCTGAAAGGGCGATCCTGTTTTGGCGCTGGATGAACAGCAAAGGACAGTTGACAGCAACACTAAGCTTAAGAAATGGCTATTTGCCTAATGGCTTAAATGCCTTTTTGGTATTGGTTCCCATCGACAGAGCACATTGACTGGTACATTGTTTTGCCGACATTCTACTGTCTTAGTTACTTACGTCCCAGACAAAATGTTATCAGACGTTTTTTACGGACCTTTCTCGAGCTGTAGTTGGACGGCTGTCGACGCTGATCCGTATCAAAAACCGTCTGGTCGCCTTACTCAGGTGTCTGCATGCTGCCATAGCTGTTACCCGATACCGGCTCCCGCGCGCCCACAGATTCCATGCTGTAGATTATGCCATGCATTTCTTAAAATAGCTGTGTATCTAGCCTTCCATTCACGAGCAGGTAGCCACGACTGTCTCACCTAATTTCGGTCAGCCGAGGCTAACGCTGACCTCGCCGTGCCCAGGTGCCGAAGCCGGCCTTCTCGTTGGCGATGACTTCTGAGGTTCGTCCCAGCCGTTCTCCAGGCAGTTCGTATAACCTGGAGGTGTGCTTCGCCTACATCGGGGACTCTGGCGGATCAGATCGTGTCGTGCTGGAGGTGGAAATGCCCTCGGGCTACATCGCCGTCAGCAGCACACTGAGAAGTCTCCGAAACAGCGGCGGTAAGTGGGGAGCAGTCTGCGAAACAGCGGCGGTAAGTGGGGAGCAGTCTGCAAAACAGCGGCGGTAAGTGGGGAGCAGCCTCCGAAACAGCGGCGGTAAGTGGGGAGCAGTCTCAGAAACAGCGGCGGTAAGTGGGGAGCAGTCTGCAAAACAGCGGCGGTAAGTGGGTAGCAGCCTCCGAAACAGCGGCGGTAAGTGGGTAGCAGCCTCCGAAACAGCGACGGTAAGTGGTGAGCAGTTTCCGAAACAGCGGCGGTAAGTGGTGAGCAGTCTCCGAAACAGCGGCAGTAAGTGGGGAGCAGCCTCTGAAACAGCGGGGTGAATGGGGAGCAGCCTTCGAACCAGCTCTGGTAAGTAGGGAGTAGCCTCCGAACCAGCGGCGGTAAGTGGAGAGTAGCCTCCGAAAAAGTGGCGGTAAGTGGTGAGCAGTCTCCGAAACAGCGGCGGTAAGTGGTGAGCAGCCTCCGAAACAGCGGCGGTACGTGGGGAGCAGTCTCAGAAACAGCGGCGGTAAGTGGTGAGCAGTCTCCGAAACAGTGGCGGTAAGTAGGAAGCAGTCTCCGAAACAGCGGCGGTAAGTGGTGAGCAGTCTCCGAAACAGTGGCGGTAAGTGGTGAGCGGCCTCCGAAACAGTGGCGGTAAGTGGTGAGCAGCCTCCGAAACAGTGGCGGTAAGTGGTGAGCAGCCTAGCTACGAGGATGTGGGCGTATGGCGGTGTGGTCAAATGATAGTGTTTATGACGTATGACGTAAATGACGTAAGGGTCACAGCTTACATACCTGTTGCAATTGATATGCGAGCACAACCGAACATGCGGCTTCACCAAGAAACGTGGCGAACAGAGGTGCCCAGCTTAACGTTGACACGCGTCCGGGTGGCCGGTTGAATATCCTTTGCGCGGGTGGGGGTCCATTTGACCGCCCTGAGATCACGGAAGCTAGGAAGACTATCGACACTAGATTCACGAGTGGGTTGGCCTGTACGTGAAATCCCTTTTTTCAAAATTTGAGTTTTCTAGGTTATGATCTTTGGGTAAAATAAGATTAAACAAGGTTAAAATCCAGATTGATGTCCAAAGTTCCCCAGAACGCTGATACCTGCTACAAGGAAAAGATCACTGGTGTTCGTTTAAAGTCAGTGACCTTGTTTCACCTCTGGGAGGTCATGGCGATCAAAAACGCATGACTGCTTTTAGCTTTGCACTTGAATAAGCGTTAACGATTGCGCCAGGCAGTATGTTCCTGAAAAAGAAAATGCTGACCTGCGTCAGTTTAGGTTAGCAACCTTTCCTAAACCTTAAGGAGTCTCTGGAAGACGTATGATGCAGTTGCTGCTGTCAATAAACCCGAACTAAGTACCAGAACCTGCCCCACACAGCAAGCTCTAAAGTAATAAAACAGGATGGTTTCAACCTATGTCTGACCCCCATTCCTGAACCTAGGTCAATGGAATCTGTTTATTCCACTGTTGTGTTGCCTAGGAAGCCATCTCAGAGATACATGACTTCGTATAGCCCTCCGTTGTTGCATCAGATTAAAGGTTTCCTTAGGAGTCATCTTCGCTGAATCTGTGGCCTGACTTTGACCTGCCGTAGGTCATTGCAAGGTACATCTAAATTTCTTATATCAGACGATACACTATGTTATTGTTTACAACAAATCAAAGTTTGGAGCGGCTACGCCGCGCCGTTCGGAAACCACTCTGGAAAAAACTTTGAGTGGTCAAAATGACCCCCACCCGAGCGCGCGTTACCTCTACACATTTCTGCGTAGCCCTCATGCCATGTTTCGTTGGCCACAATTCCCTTCACGAACGTTCGATGCCTTTCTTTTTTACCTTCCTCACTCTCTCTGCCCCCAGCGGTACGCAAGTACAAATTCAGCAAGGGTAAGGTGACCTTCACGCTGTCCAATGTCACCGAGGAGAAGGTCTGCCTCAAGTTCCGCATCATCCGAGAAAACGAGGTGGATGGCCTGAAGCCGTCGTTGGTGCGGGTCTACGACCTCTTCAGGCCTGAGGACCGTAATATTCTGGTGAGGAGCGGGACCGACCACTGCCGGCGTGCCCGCTGAGCCGTGAATACAAAGTTTTAGGTTCAATTTCAAACGCTGGAAAAATTGTTAAGGCTTTAGTTTCGCCAAAAGAGGTAATGGCTATAGCACTCATAGCATGGTAAAGTTGAAAACACTACATCATATTGTGGTGAATAAGTTGCAGCCCTTAAGGAAACGGGTGCTGATGCTGTGTTACTGGGCCGGCTCGTGTGGCACGGCCAGACCGGAGAAACGCGATATGACGGTGGTAGGGTTCCCTCGGCCCGTGGAGCCTTCTGCCCTTTGACCCAGTGCCCAGTTTTCTTCTCCCCTCGTTAGGCTAGAGCTGACGTCAGCCCAAAGCCTGCTGAAAACGCCGCCAAAACAGCTAAATCCTCACCAGTTTTCTTTTCGATCTCTGCCATTTTTAAAAATTCTGCCACCCGATGGCTGTCAAACTTGACCCCCGTATACCTGTACTTACAACTGTAGTCTCTGCAAGGGTGTGTATGTGTGTAAGCCGCTAATACGTTTACAATTGTGAGGCGTCATGACAGGGCTCTTATGTCACGTCTCTGTTTCAGGAGTATGAGCTCTCGCCCGCATCTGCTCTCGCCGCTTGAAACTTAAGTTGAAGCCTTCCGCCTCATGCCTTACGGATCATATTACATCATGAGTTTCGTCTTACTGATCGTGGTTGGCAGACACGTGACGCAACGTGGCACAAGTGCCACACACCACCACTGCAGGCATAGCATGGCGATAGGACGCAGGCGTTTTATGGCCTGATCGCAGACGTTTAAGGTCAGCCAGCGTTTTTTTTTGCCGTTTTCTTTTTTAAACATCCGAGGTCAACATTTTAGATCGGTATGCGCCAGGTCAGTTTCAATCAAGGATCATAGAACATGGTTGCTGTGGAATATGTTAGCAGGTAAACCGATTTCGCAGACAAATTGCACAGGTCAAAACAGTGTTTGTGCGATCAACGTAAAGGGTTTGCGATACGGGCAGCTGAGACAAGGTGGTTGGCGCTTGTCTGTATGTGAGAAGGCTTTAAAAACACATTCCGTGAAAATATTTTGTTTTGAGCATCAACAGACTTTCCCTTGTCTTTTTGACACGCGTCGGAGTGGCTGAATGCAACGCAAAGGTGGGGGTTAAGTGATAGGGTAGGTTCATTTTCCACTAGTGAGACTGGAAAAAGATTTTGGACAGCTAGAGACAACAAATTTTCATGAAAGGTAAACCTGTATGTGAGCTGACTCAGGATCGACCAAGCAAAACTGATTCCCAACTCGGACAAGTTATTTGTATAAACAGATAGTAATCTCGTAGCTTCGGTATTGACAGAACATGCTCGCACTCATCGCGCCGGATTATATGTATTTTCATTGCGTCGTATGCATCGCGTGTCGCACGTGTCGTATCACTCAGCCGTGTGCTACGAGTCCTCAGCGGCGTGACACTGTGACGTCACGGCCATTTTGGCCGTGACGTCACGGTGTCACGATACCACGGTGGGGTCACGGTACCGTACCGCCGCGGCGTCACGACACCACGACCCCCCAAACGTGACATAACCTTTCGTCACCGTGGCCCGGCCCCTTCTCATCCAGCACAATTCCCATATATGGAACACAAGTCAATCCAATCTGACACCCGAGGAGCGAGTGCGAGTCCTGGCTCATGTGTCCTGCCGGCTGCCCTTGCGCTGCTCCTTTTGCACCATCTCCAGCGTGGCCAGCTCGCGGTAATTGCCAGCGGCGTGTTTAACCCGCGCACGGTGAGGTTCTCAAACACGCTCTGCTCAGGCGGCGGAGCCTGCTGCGGCCGACACTGTCAGTGCGCACTGCGCTAATTCTAGTTCAAATGTGCCTCAAAACTTAAGTCCTGACATATCGTAAACTGCTTTAGTTGTTTGCTTTTGCATGCTTTAAAGCCCTGATTGTTGCAAACCGTTTGCTTTAGTTGTTTCCTATTGTACGCTTTATGTCCTGATATGTGTGAAGCTGTTTGCTTTAGCTGTTTCCTATTGTATGCTTTAGTTGTTTCCTATTGTATGCTTTAGTTGTTTCCTATTGTACGCTTTATGTCCTGATATGTGGGAAGCTATTTGCTTTAGCTGTTTCCTATTGTATGCTTTAGTTGTTTCCTATTGTATGCTTTAGTTGTTTCCTATTGTATGCTTTAGTTGTTTCCTATTGTATGCTTTAAGTTTTGACATGTTGGAAGCCGTTGTTTCCTATTGTATGCTTTAGTTGTTTCCTATTGTACGCTTTATGTCCTGATATGTGGGAAGCTATTTGCTTTAGCTGTTTCCTATTGTATGCTTTAGTTGTTTCCTATTGTATGCTTTAGTTGTTTCCTATTGTATGCTTTAGTTGTTTCCTATTGTATGCTTTAAGTTTTGACATGTTGGAAGCCGTTGTTTCCTATTGTATGCTTTAAGTCCTGGTATGTTTGAAACTGTTTGCTTTAGTTGTTTCCTACATATATTTAGTTGCGCGTAATGGATCGGACCTTGTGAAATCACTTTCAGAAGTCATTTCAGCTCGTTGGTGCTGGTTGTGCATGCTTTTTGTTTCCACTTGATGCCTTTATGCTGCCATAAATTGTCAACAGGTTTGTCATGCATTCGTCAAAAGCATTGCCAGAACGTACTTAATCAATTTCTTGTATTCATTGAACTTAATCCAGGTGGTCTTTTAAGTCATAATAATGCATTATTTTAAGACACATGTAGGGTTCCGAATACAAATAGAGCATAACAGATACTGAGACCAACAAGAAAGCAGTACCAGTCCTCCCTGTTTTACTACATTTAAGGTACTTGAAAGCGTGTAAGGAATTGTTTTAAAGAATCATTTTGGCGGCAGAAAAGGCGCGAACAAAGCTGTGAGGGTTTTCGTAATCCACGTGCCGCCGGCCGACCGGTCTGGCACCAGGCGGTGCGACGGCTGGCAGGCCGCGCGAACTTGTCCAGTCATCCTTGATCTCACGGACATCAAGAGCAGTGCGTCTTGCACTGTGTGCGAAGCAGCGCGTAAGGAAGCGACTCGCCTGACTGCGTTGCCAGCTCTCATTGCAGGCGCGGGGACGGGCCAGTTTGGTTCCTCGACGAAACATATTCATACAGCTGTTTTCGAGCGCGTCCTGCCTGTACCATATGGCCTGCCTGTCAAGCCCAACACGGCGACTTCAAAATATAAGGCGGTTGCCAATAAACGAGACAGAATGGTAAAAATACCTTTCAGAGAGGGGATGGGCTGGGTGAGTGGTCAGCCGTGATCAGAGGGAAGCGACGTATCAAACGATGGCATCTCGGCACATCATCCGTGCCTAGATGTCAGCAAACCCTGTGGAGTGATAGGTGCAGTTCCGAGGCTTCTTCCAAGTTTGGCCGATACCCTGTCTGTTCTGGCTTTATTCCTACCAGTCAGCATTCAGAAGTACGCGCAACACGTCACGAGCAAGCACGACCGGTAGTCGACCAGTCTCACCGACTGCGGTGGCCAGCGATCCACTGATCGCCATCTTCATCCGACTCGGACGCCGACAATGACCTTCGAGACCCGCCGCGGCCATTATGGTTTTCCTCGCTTTGTGTTATAATCTTAAACTCGAGTCTTGTTATGTTCTCCAAACTCTCTCAAATACGGCTTAACTATTTTCTCCTTCAATATAATATCTAACCTCTCGCCTCACTGGTCATTAACTTTTGCATGTGTCTTGTCCAAGCAGTAATGTTTATGGGACCTCGCTAGCAGTGACATATTCCGTAGCATAATATCATGTGACCTACTACCATGGCATGCACCTATACGTTACTTTATGTAACTATGACATAAATATAACCGTTATCATGCATATGAGAAATATCCGATACATGACACGGTTGTACGAAGAACGCAGCTAACTGTATAAGTCCACCCCATTAACACTTCTTAAGTGTCATACAATGTTCCCATGACCGCGGGTCTGTCACAGTGATCCTTCACCTGACCTTAGAAATAAGGCTATACTTGATATCTCTGCGTATTCTGCCGCATTCTGCCCACGCCACTTAAGAACAGTGATGCTCACACGAATGCGCGCCATACAAATGCCTCTCAGGGGTACGCCAGACGTTTCGCCACCATACTTTTAAAGATAATTTACTGTGTTGGCGCTATGACCACGCGCTTGGTCCGCCCCGCGAGGAACACTCCAAGAAGCCGTAGGCGCCGTAATTGAACACGGTGTGGCTGCAGGCGGCCAGCAGAGCCAAGTCCCGTCCAGGGCCGGGCGCCTCGGTGCGGCTGTCACCGAGCACGTGAACGTCTTCGGCCCGCAGGTGCTCCCTGAGAGGAGGTGCCGCTGTGTGGAACAGGCCGCGTGCTCAAGTGCATGGTGCGGGGTCTGCGTCAGGTTCCAAGTCTTAACTTACCTTACTTAGCGTATTATCTATCACACCCATCAGCTCACCAGCACCAGACTCATAACGACAAGACATGTGATCAGCTGTTCGAGGGAGTTTGGGGCGGGGCATACCGACTCGAGACGACTGGCCGGGTGTATAACGCCAGGCCGGTACTTGTCAGAGTGAAATAGTTACCTGCACTAGGTCAGGCAGCGTTTGTTACGCTGAAGAACTTTTTCACCTTCAAGGAGTTGCGTCATCACATGTAATAAAGGCATGTTTTCCTGCACCGGACAAGGTCATCACTCGTGTAAAGATTTCGGTGGACATGTTCCCTGCACTAAGATAGGTCGTCCCTCGTCCAGATGAGCATAGATTCCTTGCATTGGCGTCGATAAAAGTACAGAGAAGCGCTGTAGAACCGCATGCTTATTGGTCTGCGGCGGAACACAATATCAAATAAAAGATAAACTCGTTCCATTGTTTCCAAAGGACACAGCTATATGTTCAAAATGACAGTTTTAGAAGCACAATTATGTAAAATGACAGTTTCAAGCTGTTATCCAACTTTTACAAGCATGCAGCTTTGTAATCATATGCTGGCTGGGGGATAATTGAACCCTGGTTAATTATGGGTCAGATGGAATGCAAGCTGAGCAAATCGATGACAAACATTTTCAAAAAGGCCAGTTTTATGTAGTGCATAACCTGGTCGCAAAAATGGTCTTTTGAAAAGGTATCAAAGCGGGCCGAACTGCAAGTTTCTGTTAACATCAAACAAACAATGCAGCCCTTCTGCATCGTGTGACATGGGAATTACCGCCGCGTCATGCAGCAGCGCGCCTATAGTATTCAGCCAGATTAACAAACGCCAGCTGGGACTGCCACTAGCTTGCCCAAATGTAGCAGTCGCATGGCCAAAACGACTGCCATACCCAAATGCGGCAGTCACATGGCCAGAGCGACTGTCGTACCCAAACGTACCAGTCACATGGAGAGAGCGACTGTCGTACGCAAATGTACCAGTGAAATGGCCAGAGCGACTGTCGTACCCAAATGAGGCAGTCACATGGCCAGAGCGGCCGTCGTACCCTCACGCTGTAAATTGCCGTAGACGCTATAGGTGGCGCAGTAGGCCGGCGTCAAACTGTGCGCATGTGTGACGGCAACGCACAATGCAGAAGGGCTGGGGCTGCAGGGCCGGAGGGCGCCGATTAGGGCGTTTTTGGTTCAAACGGTCGGTACACCGCGGTGGATATTTTTCCTCATATTCTAGTTATGAGGTCAGCGTTTGAGTTGGCAGCTAGATGGCAATGTTCTTCCGAGACAAGCACCGAAAAGCTGACCCCGCGAAAAATCCAAAATCTGGTGTGCTGTAATCGCGACAAGCACTTCCGCCATTGATCCTCTCGGCACCCAACTCGACTCTAGGACCCAACCTAGCCCGCATGAGCGACACCATCTAATGGCCTGAGCACGCGTGTGACCGTACATGTATATGCTCTTGCAGTCAGTTTCCCGTATTTTTCTAACCCGTTCGCCGAGCCCTTACGTCAAGCCTGAAAACAACGGTCCCGACAGATGAGTTTGTTGTTTGCGTGAGCGCGCACGTGTTTGTTCATGCGCGTCCGATCGCACATGTGTTTGTACAACTGTCTGTTCTTTTCCGATCCTGGAGGCCATGATCCCGTTTCGCTGCGCCCACCCAGCTTCACCGTATAAGCCAGGTTTCAGCCTACGTTACGGCTATGTCGGTCAGTTGGCGTGTTGGCACGCGCCGACGGAGGCCCGCTGGTCACATCCGGTCCGAGATGTGACACGATGCGACCCCGCTGGTCACATCCGGTCCGAGATGTGAGAGGATGCGACCCCGCTGGGCCATCCGCACACCGAATATAAGCAGCCTTCTGGCACCAGCACCGAGCTGTGGCCGCGGTTGTGCATGACAGACAGACGGATATAGGACGAAGAAGGATATTTCAGATTATTAATCAGTGGTACGCCGTTTATACTGCCGAAAGCTGGTCTGATATGCTTATCACCTAAAAAATAACGGTAAAAACGCAGTAATTGTCCGTATTTATAACTTCAACTGACCTGCCACTCGCCGTAGGCACAAGTTAAGCAAGCAGATAAGCGTATGCTGACGAAAAAGTTTTTCCCGTGCATAAGCGCACATGTGAGGTCACAGGCGTTTGAAATGTTTGCAATATTTTGCGACTGCCTGATCACGTCTCTCTTCAAACGGCGGCACCAGCTCCCGGTCTTAAGGTCACTTCGTGCTGTGAGGAGCCCAAAATACGACCGAGACATTACCCCTCCCCCATTTTAGGAATAGCATGGTAGGTAGACCCTGGTGTCACTAACACGTGCCCACGTTCAACGGTAGGTCCGTTGCGACTCCAGCGCTCGTTCATCGGTGCCGATGGTCGGCGGTCGCAGCAAATACACATTCCGACTTGGCCAGGCTACAACAGAAAACGGTTATCAGCCTACTTGGTTGGTTTCTATCTATTCGGTGTGAGCTAGGAGGCGCACAGAAAGCTCACGTGCAACTGTGAGAAATAAACGAGTGAGCAGATACCACTCTTATAGATAAGACAGTAATAATAGCCTTATTCCTCGGAAGAAAAAAAACCAGAATGGAGATATAGATCGGCTGACATTTCGGCAACATGCCTTTATCGAAACAATAGCAGAACTGTGCTGTAAAGTCTTTCGCTATTGTTTCCATAAAGGCATGTTGCCGAAACATTAGCTCATCTACTTTCAATGTTCAATGCTCAATGCTCAATGTTCATGTATTTTGTAACTTTCCACAAGATCTAGTGGCTTTTTAAAAGTTACACGCCATCATTGATGAAACGGGCATAAAAGAGACACTGTGAAACCTAGTAAAAATAGCCTAACACATCACACATCAGTCAAGGGATCATCTCGGTGAATCACACTATTGCATTCACATTGTGGCATCACACACAATCGAACACACACGCACCCACTCATGTGCCCACATTCGCCTCACTCAGTAGAAACTCCATAATCTGATGCTCTGTGGCTAAATCGGCGAATGTCAGAGTTGCTCACCGCTCGGGGGCGCCTCAGCTGGTTAGCCTGTCGCGTTTCACGAGTGTGCTGAGCACGTGTGAACATCGCGGCTATATCTGGTGACTGGCCCGTGAGTAAGACCTTTTTGAGCAGGCACAACATATGATATCTGACAAGCTGTTCAGCACTAAGCCATCGTAGATCCCTGATTATATCCGATATGTGGTTCAACCTTCTCCTTCCGCTCATAACCCGCGCACAGAAGTTCACGAGTTTTTGCACGCGATGGAACTGGGTGGCTACGTGAGTACCATACAGTACTACACAGTATCTAATGGAGGAAAGGACTTGAGCTTCGACGATGCGAACGGGGGTGTCTCTAGGGAGAACATGCTTGGCATGTGACAGGACCACCAGAGCGCCCGTCGACCTGGCAACAAGCTGATCAATGTGCGGTTCAAATGTGAGATTTCCGTCCATCACCACACCAATCCAAGGTTTTTGACAGTACTGCTTCCAGTGATGACAGCTGACCTGAACTTGACATGCACAGGATGCATATGACGCAGCATAGCCTTCGTCCCGAAACCATTAACTGTATTTTTGTTGTATTCATTTTCATAGAGTGGTTCTTAAACCAGTCCAATACAATTGACAAGGCACTCTCCATGGTTGCGAGAAGCTGTTGCAGTGCACTTTTTCTTTCCAGTAACCAAAATCTGTGTGTCATCGGCATATTGTATCACCGTAGCACCTTCTGAATATAACGCCAGATCGCTAGACTTTTCCATTCTCCTGGTTTTCTCCGACGAATATGCATATTACTAGTGTTTTCTCTTTGTGACTAATGTTGCTCGCAGGTGTATGGAACAGCTCAGGTACCACTCTCCGTAGAGCATAGCTCTTACCTGATGGAGCGGGTTCCTCGGATGCGGTTCAACGGAAGGGTGTGTCCGTTTGGGTCGGCCTGTTCGAAAACCAACCAAGCAGTCGATCTGTCTTCTGATGCGCGCGATGTTTCCCCAACCGCGTGCGTTTCATCAAATAGGAGAGGGCCAGCGGTTGGCCGCATCAAGGTAGTAACAAACCACAGCTTTGACCTGTGAGAAGACGATGCCATATGTAGTACATCGACAGGAGAGCTGCGAGGGTAACGTTATTCAGCATGGCCATTCCAACACGCGTGCAATGAAAACTTAGATCGGGAACGGTCTTTCTCGAGTTCCCCATCGTCCGACAGCACATTGGACATTGTGAAGGGATGCTTCATAGCATCGTCCGCCTTGGCCATTTTGGCATTTGTCGACCTCAACCAGGGGTGGTAAAACTCGCCAACTTGGTGTATGAGGTCAGCTAAAAAAATGTATGTATTCATGCAAAGCTTTGTACCAAAAACGATTTCGAACAGCAAATTTTGGTGACAGCAAAAACCAAATAATACAGCATACTATGCAAAATATGACATGAGCTATCCATACATAGATGTTATGCCTCCATGGTAATACATTTCGCTACGTAACACCAGCAAACGTTTCCGTAAAAATCCTTTACCCTACTCTACGGCACCATGGTATCTTTTGTAGATTTCATTCCAGCCCGGCGACAAAAATATCCTTGATTTTTAGTTGGCCGGCCGACTCGGTGATAGATCGGTGACAAAGCAGTGTATTTGTTATCGTCCGACCGGTCGGCCGATTCGCTGGTTTTAACAGCCGGCCCTCAGTGTCGCGAACCAACATTTATTTCTCAAAATGTGCGTAAAATAAGTGCTACGGAAGCTGCACTATTTAAAACTCTATTTAGACAACAACACTGAGCGTGATAACGCCCACAGGTGTGTATATTGTGTGTCCTAAACAGAGGGCTGTAAGTACTTGGTGCCAGTGATAATTGGATTGAAGATGTCATCTAGCACTCATATTCGATAAGGATCAAATGGAAAATGTAAGCTCTATGGTGGTGAACAGGCAGTTCAATTATGTTTCTTCATCAGAGCGGCTACTTGAAGTACATATTTCGATCTATTTAGGCGGATTTCGGGACAACTAACACTGCGGATCACATGGGACGCGCCTGGACTATAAGTGCAAAGTGAGAAAAGGTGGCGCACTCCAGTTAAGCACGTTGGGTCAAATCTGAATCCCAACATCGAATTTGAGGAAGGAGGGGGAGGCTGACTCACCGTGTTTGTCATCCTCGTCGCCTGTTGGCAGCTGCCTTGTGACGTCACAGTACCGCCTCAGCAAGTAAGGCCGCAGGTCGATGGTGCTCGAAGTTCAGTTAACAGTTAGCGGCACGGCAGGCGGACGCTCCCTTCTCAGCTCCCAGTAAGCAGTTAGCAGCCTAGCAGGTAGAGGCTTCCTGCTCAGCTTCATGTAAGCAGTAAGCGGCAAATACCACAATATCGACGAAAGTGTTGATGTAAGTGTGAGTGTTTGGCGCGGTGAATGGAACTCGTCCACCGTAAACACACCACCACAGTTCTGTTAATAGCGCGTCGCCGTCGATAGGAATGTTCTGTTGTCGTTTGCAGCTGACCGGATGGATTGGTATCCATTGAATGTTATCCGGCATGGTTAGGTGTATCCAGATGCTTCTCCCATTCTTGAGACATATTAGATTTGCATGGCACATTTTTGTTTACCTGAACACATCTGCGATTTTTTTGGCGTTTGTGGTGTTTGCAGTGTCATGGACCGCCGTTTGCTACAGTGGCTGCAAAGACATAACATGCCAAAATATTACTGAGTGGGCTGTGCCTGGCCGACTAGTCTGAGCTTCAGTTGGCTGACGACGAAACTCGTACGACCAGTGGCCTCGCCCGTCGTCAGTCATGGTTTTATGTTTCATGCGACTGTCGCTTTCATTTGACATCTGACACCGAGTTTTCAGCAGATAAACCTGAAAGGCTGTTTATTCACAGCCAGATCCGTCAACCACGTTGAAGACAAGACCGTGCCTGTCGTTAACTTCAGCCTTGAAACGTAATTGTGAACTGGAGTGACGTGTGTGCACCTGACGTCCCGAAATCAACGGAAGGCTGTCACGATCGAGAGCCTGCAGTGAGAGTATAATGACGAAGACCCCATGTCAGGATTCAATGACAGAACTCACCAGCAGGGTGCGGGAACGCGAACCCCAAATGGGACATTTCAAGCGAGCACAACGGATGCAGGCGTACCAGTCACGACAAAGGTAAAGGAACATCATAAGTGCTTGAGCGTCACTGATAATCTTCGCCGGGCAAGAGGCGTTGGGGGAGGGGGAGGGGGAGCGGAGCAGATCCGACCAGAAGAGGCGAACCTCTCCCAAGGACTGCGGTAGCAACATCCCTGGGAAAATTTGGGTGGGAACGTCAACACGCCCGTCTAGGGATAATGCAGCTATCTGTTAGGGAATGTTGATGCATTATGTATCGACTTTTGCTCAGACCTTTTGACTCACGGGACGAGGGTAAATCGTCGGTTTTAGTGTCAATCTGCTACACTAGGGCTGCCAGTAAACAATGAATGTGTACCTTGGCCACGAGATCCTTTGTGCTGTTGCACGCTTGGTACAAAGCTCATGGAAAGTGAAAACGCTAGGTGGGGGGTGACGCCCAATGCATTTCGAAATTGTCATGTCAAGAATATATACGTGGTCAGCGCGCAGCCAGGTATCAGTATTGAAACGACGCAGAGCTGACCACAGGTGTAGGAGCGACCCCAGTCGGCTCAACGGTGCTCATGGGGAACACCGTCCTTGCAATGACAACCTTTCATGCATTCCTCAACCGGCAACTTAAAAGAGCACATAATATGTTTATATTAAAGAGCACACACACACACACACGCATACACAAACATATATATATATATATATATATATATATATATATATATATATATATATATACATATTCTTGCTCTGATGTTGTGGTTTGGTTAAGGCTCACACCAAAATCACGCCCAAAAAACGTTCGTCAGGCGACCATCGGCGCTCGTTGCGGCCAAGCACGTATGATGATGAGATTGTCAAGCTGCTTTCGGCGCTCGCTGAGGCCAAGTACGTATGATGATGGGGTGCAGCAGCACAGAGAGACCGCCGCTCAGCACGCACGCCGAGATCACAGCAAATACCGGACGGTGTGAGCCGGTCGCCTCGCGCAGCAGGCCGCCCAAGGGCATCGACGTCATGCTCGCCAGACTCGCCAACGCGGCACACAGTGTTGACGCTGACGAGATTCGTTCCTCACCGTAAAACTCAACCAACAACAACGGCACCACTACGAGTATAAAGCCGCTGGTCATGTACCCGAGAGCGGCAAAGACGTACAGACCAGCGCTCGATCGCACGAACACCATCGCCAGTGCAGCGGTGCCTCCAACCATGCTGGTGATGATGCAGCCGTAGCGCTTGTGGAAGAGCCGGCGGTCAAGCACGGCGCCGAACGCCAGTGAGCTCACAAACTCGATGGGCGCCATGAAGGCCACCATATTGGCCATGCGGTCGCGGCTCATTTTGATTTCTTGCGAGCCGGAGCTCGGCAGGAGCATGTTCATGTGTGGAAAACCAATGCAGACCATGAAAGCCCAGAACGTGCACGACAAGAAGAGCGGGTCGGCAAGCAGCTTCAGGTCCAGCATGCGCGACAGCTGCGCCCAGCGGCCGTTGACCGCAGGTGGCAGTATGACCGCCACCGCCGGGCTACCGTTGGCAGCACAGCTCAGCTCCGAATCAGTGACGGCCGCCTGGATGTCCTGGCTCACGGGTAGGTGCTGTCTCTCGCTGTGGCTTTTGTTCGTGCATAAGGTATCGGGTGTTTTCCACTTCTTTCGCAGCAGTCGCTTTCTGTCCAATCGCATGATCATCCTCTGCGTATGCGGCGGCCGGTACAGCATCGACGAGACGAACATGTGCATTAACAGTCCACAGAGCAGCAGATAGGTGCCACCCATGCCGAACTCGTTCAGCAGGAGATTTATCAAAGGCGGAAAGACTACGCCTCCGACGGGGAACGAGGCTGCCATGATGCCAGTGGCTAGACCACGTCGGTTGTCGAAGTACTGCTGCAGTATTATCACGCTGGACGTCATACAGAGGCAAAGGCCAGTTCCGAACAGAACCCCGTTGGTGAGGTAAAGCACGCGAGCGACGTCGGCCAGGGCACTCAGACCCAGACCTAGCGTGCAGCAGAGGCTGCCGAGCAGGGCCACATGCCTCTCGGACAGTCGGCGACACATCAACGCGGCCAGCGGAGCCCCCAGGCGCTGAATGCCGAGGAAGATGCCCAGTATGGTGACTGCTTGGGCTGCCGAGAGGCCACGGTCCCGCATCAGCGCCAGCATGATCAGGCCAAAGGACTTCATGATACCCCCGGTTAGCACCATCTGCAGCGCTACTGCGCCCATCAACACCCAGCTGTACGCCGAGTCGTGTATCTCTGACTCTGAGGCCAACGACTCGGGAGGTGCCGGGTCTGTGTCAGCAGGCCCGGAATGTGTTTGAAGTGGCTCTAGCACCGGCTCTAGCAGATGCCGTTGCTTTCCGCCAGCGTCCGGTGTGCTCGCCTGAAATGTCTCACATGGGGTTCGCATTTCCCGCACCCTGCTGATGAGCCCTGGCGTTGAATCCTGACTTGAGGTCTTTGTCATCATACTCTAGCTGCAGGCCCTTACCCGTGATAGCCCTCCGTTGGTTTCGCTACGTCAGGTGAACACACGCCACTTCAGTCCACAAGTACGTTTTCGGGGCTGAAGTTTACGACAGGTACATTCTTGTCTTCAACTTAGATGACGAATCTGGCTGTAAATAAACAGCCGTTCAGGTTTACCTGCTGAAAACTCGGGGTGAGATGTCAAATGAAAGCGGCAGCCGCATGAAACATGAAACCATGACTGGTGAACATGGCCCGCTGTTCGCACGAGTTTCGGCGTCAGCCAACTGAAGCTCAGACTAGTCAGCCGGGCACAGCCCACTCAGTAACATTTTGATACGTTATGTCTTTGCAGCCACTGTAGCAAATGACGGTTCATGACACTGCGAACACCAGAAACGCCAAAAACTTGCAGATGCGTTCAGAAAGACGAGAATATGCTATGAGAATCTTGAAGGCCGCAAGGATGAGCGAAGCATCTGGATGCATCTCACCGTGCCGGAAAATATGGGATGGAAACCAGATCATCTGGTCAGATGCAAACGATACAGAACATTCCTTTTGACGGCAACGGGCTATTAACTGAAATGAGATGGCGTGTTTACGGTGGACGATTTTCATTCGCCGCGCTTGACAATCAGACTTACATCAGACGTTTTCGTCGATTGTGTGGTATTTGCCGCTGACTGCTCACATGAAGCTGAGCAGGGAGCCTTTACCTGCTAGGGCGCTGACTGCTTACTGGGAGCTGAGAAGGGAGCGTCTGTCTTCTAGACCGCTGACTGCTTACTGAGAGCCGAGCAGGGAGCCTGTCTGCTAGACCGCTGGCTGCTTACTGGGAGCTGAGCAGGGAGCCTGTCTGCTAGACCGCTGGCTGCTTACTGAGAGCTGGGCAGGGAGCCTTTACCTGCCGGGCCGCTGACTGCTTACTGAGAGCTGAGCAGGGAGCCTGTCTGCTAGACCGCTGACTGCTTACTGGGAGCTGAGCAGGGAGCCTGTCTGCTAGACCGCTGACTGCTTACTGAGAGCTGGGCGGGGAGACTCTACCTGCTGGGCCGCTGACTGCTTACTGAGAGCTGAGCAGGGAGCCTGTCTGCTAGACCGCTGGCTGCTTACTGAGAGCTGGGCGGGGAGACTCTACCTGCCGGGCCGCTGACTGCTTACTGAGAGCTGGGCGGGGAGCCTCTACCTGCCGGGCCGCTGACTGCTTACTGAGAGCTGGGCGGGGAGACTCTACCTGCCGGGCCGCTGACTGCTTACTGAGAGCTGGGCAGGGAGCCTCTACCTGCCGGGCCGCTGACTGCTTACTGAGAGCTGGGCGGGGAGCCTCTACCTGCCGGGCCGCTGACTGCTTACTGCGCCACCAACCAGCGGCCTCACTCGCTGAGACCGTACTGTGACGTCACAGGAGAGCTGCCAACAGGGGACAAGGATGACGAACACGACGGATTGGCCTCTCCCTCGTTCCCTAAATTCGATGTTGGGATTCAGATTCGACCCAATGTACATAGAACAGACGTGCGCGATGTGATCGGTGGCATTACTTGTCTCGAAATCCGTCTAAATAGCTCAAAAAGTTTATGTGAAGTAGCAACTCGGGTGAGAGACATTGGACTGGCTGCTCACCACTATAAAACTGATATTTTCCATTTGATTTGCATTGAGTTTGAGTGTTAGTCAATTTTTTCAATGCACTTATCAGCTCATATGCGTGTGCAATAAATCATACGAGATCCCTTTACTTAGTACACACAATATACATATAGGTGTGCATTGTCACAGTCTTTCTGTCTAAACAGAGTGCTCCAAGCTTTTGCAGCATTCATTTCACACACATTTTGAGAACTTAGTGAGTTGCAAACATAACAGAACACACACGGAAAAGCCAAGTCAATTGAAATGTACTACTTTCATGGTGGTGACCAGGGAGTAAACAGCTGACAGCTATTACACATGCTATTGAATTGCTAGCATGAAGCGTCTTTATTGGCATTGCTAGCATTGCTTGGCATTCGGCCGGTTCTTTAAACGCACATGGGCACCAGTGGTGCTGCAGGCTTGTAACATTAGTGTGACATCCCAGGCAAAGCCTTCAGCAAGGCCTGTTCAAGGTCATTCACTGCTGCTCAGGCATAGCCCGTGCATCCATTGAGGCATTATCAGGTATTGCTGCAGAAATCTGTTCCAGGGGAATCGATTGCGGCATTGATGTTACAATTTCCGACAGCAGCTTCTTGAGCTATCATGAGAGTTAAAGAGAGTGTTTCAAATATGTGTGTAATCGTTATCGAACGACTTATTAAAGAGCATATTTACTGGACACAGACACTGTGCTGTCTACAGCAGCTTTTCCCATTCAAAATTATACCAATAGTCAAAAATGAGGTTGTTTTATGACATGTGGTGCAATAGGATGCTTGCTTTTATATCTTCAAATGTGGCACATTGCGGGCCGAGATGGTTGTCCAATCCGGCACCGTTCAAGCGCGCCTGCAAAGGCTGTAAACGGCAGGGACCACGTAAAGATCGTTGCGAGATGCATGACCGCGGCTTACGTGCTGTATGATCATCTCCACGTGTGCACTACACGTGTGCATCCTATGCGTATCCTGAATGTCCGGAAGACAATATTCCAGGTAATGTCTTCCAGGGACATGTGTGCACTATGCATCCAACAGTGTTCCGAGAGTGGGCACATATGGACCCGCATGTATTGCGAACTCGCTCGATGAAAACGAATTGGCCCTTGCAGCACCATAAAGTTGAGCTGGAATCTGATGATGGAACTGAAAAAGTAAATGGAAAGTCTCCACTTTTCGTGCTGCTGCAGCTGTTCATGTGTTCAGAGAATAGCCTTGAAGTCGTAAAAAAGATGCGCCCAGTCTCATCCATGAACGGTGTCACTTAATTCTGAAAGACATCCGGGACTATTGTTTTAAGGCAGTCGTTCTCGCGCGCACGGCTCCCGCCGTCTGGTGTTACTTGCGGTGGCCAACGCCGTCCGGTTTTGCCGAAACTGCAACCCAGGTCATCGCTGTCCTCACTTTCGAGATCGCGGGCAAGCAGGCTCAAACCTTTTGATGTAATTTGTTTTACTAGTTGATTCTGTAGAATAATAGACGTTCTCATACAAGCATGGGATGGCTTTGTTCGTCTTTTAATTCACTTCGACCCACTCTTTGACCCACTCATGACTAATGAAGCACGTTATTTCTTTCTGTGAAAGGAGTCCACTTGAGTAGAACACTAGGGGACACACTATTGTTCGCGGCCAGAGCTGAAGAGCCATTCCGTCTCACCACGGTTGTTTTCCGGCTTCTACTCAGCCGACACGGGGCGGGATCTTCTGACTGACCCAGAGGTCTTCAGAGGGATACATCTTATCACCTTGGCTCCCTCCCTGACCTAAAAGGCCTTCTCATTCCCGCAGTCGACCTCGGAACAGCGACGGAACCCTCAATGTCGCAATAGCATCCCTGATCTCCGCAGGTGGTCCCGTAAAGCGCGCATGGATTCCAGTTCGGATTAACGGGCCCATGCTTGAATTGGGTTCGAGGGCCAACCGTTCACTGCTAAGGCCCCTAACTGGCACAGGGTTCTTTCATTGCATCAATGTGAGCAATCATCATAAATTGTTATTTTTTCTGACATTGTCAGAGAGCCCTGTCTAACGCAGGCGTGCCTTGTAATTTGGGGTCCCGTCTCCGTCCCTTTTGAGCAAATCCTCTACTGACCGACTCGAGACCCATTGTTGATACACAATACCCTGTAAGGCACTTGGGGCTCCTGAACGATGCAGGAGCCCAGCATTGCCGCAGAGGCCCCGGGCGATGTAAATTGCGGGCCTGACCGTATCCCCGCTTGAGAAATAGGCCCCTAAGCTCAAACCGACACGAAGCGGACTGTTCGGTGTTGGTGATCTCTGGCCGAAACAGAGGAACGCTCTGTCTCAGGCGTCCCCAATCGACGAGAGAATTTCTCTCACTGACATTTGACATTTGATATTGGACGGTACTACGGGCGGGGGTGCTTGATATGACCCACAGCTAGCCCTTCGGGTCGTTCAGCTTTCCAATAGAGCCCCTTACCTTTGGCGTCAAGAGGCCCTTCGGGCTCTCTAAACACCGCTTCAGGGCGAATCGGGGTCACTTGCCGCCACGTGACCCCTTTTAGGTAATCTGGCCCCTGACCGACACAAGAGCTCATCATTGTGTAAGGGACCCCGAGAATTGCAAATCGCGGACCTCGGCCTCGTTCGCGCTTGGTAGATGGATCTCAAGAGCTCAGACGGGCATGAAGGCGACTGCTATGCGGATAATTGTCAGCTGCGTTTGCTTGTGCAGCCCGCATTATACTGAACCGAATGCGCGCCCGTTGATTGTCTTTGAGGTGACTCACAGGAAAGCAGCTGCGTTACGCCGGCGTGCTGTTGGCGAACTAGCAAACAAAAACAGACACACGTGGTATTAACATGACGAAGTTCGACAAAGGCACTTGTATACCAATCGCGTGATCAGCATGACATGCATAAAATTAGTGTTGGGACTTTCTGGCCATCTGGTCCTCTGACCCGGCTTAGCATGACCCATTGACCTGGTGTCACACATAACCCCGACCTGGGACAATGTCTAAACTCAGACGACGTGGGCGCCTCATCAAACTCGGCTGGTTCGTCGCGCGTAGCCAGCACGATCTCTGCCTACGGCAGAAACT